AAAACGGAACCGCATCCGGGCGTAGCCGAATCTTGTACTCCTCCTTGAGCGTGCCGAGACCTCTGAAAAGTCCCTGCGGTGCCGGCACTTTCATGTCGTCCAAGAACTTTACCACACCCAGAGCCTGGATGGCTGGGAACCCGAGCAGGGGCATAGAGAGGGACTTGATCACGTACAGACGCTGATGACCGGTCTTGCCTCGCCACAGGAGGGTAGCCATGAAGTACCCAATGACTTTTAGCGACTGGTCTCCTGGTGCTGTCAGCAGGTCGTCGACCTTGTCCAGATGATGAGGTAAGTTCGGGAAGGCTTCCGAAACAGCAGACGCCTCCGCGCCGGAATCTACCTTGAATATCGCCGTGTAGTTGTCGACATTGACCTCAACGTACTTGGCCTTGGCCTTCTCAGTCTCGAGGATTGCGTGGAGCGGTAAGGAACGCCACCTTGCTCTGCTTTCGTTTCCGAGCGCAACAGACGTCCGCGAAGTGGCCCTTCTTCTTGCAATAATTGCACAGAGACTGCCGAGCAGGACAGTCTGAGCGTGTGTGGGGGGCCCGACTGCAGTAGCTGCAGGAACCTGGGTCGTTATCGCCAAGTGAAGACACTGCTGATGCGTCGTCTGACCGTTTTGTTGTCTTGCGTTGGTGCGTCGGACCATGACAAGACTTGGTGGCGTCAACGTTGACGGTGACCTGGACACTCTCGACTCCCGCGAGCAGTTTTTTTCTTTTTCGGCGTCTTCGATCTGCCTCACCTGCGTCCACGCGTCCTTGAGGCTGAGCTTGGCTTTCCAGCAGAGCTGGCCGGACAGGCGTTCGTCGCAAAGACCAACAACGAACCGGTCGCGAACCAGGCGTTCTTCGACTTTGGGGGACGGGTAGTTGCACCACTTGACAAGCTTGCAGAGCTCGGCGTAGTAACTGTCGACGCTCTCTCCCGGCTGCTGAACCCGCTCGTGGAACCTCGAGGACTCTTACACCTCGTTGACGGGGTACAGGAAGTGTTCCGAGAAGCGCTTGACCACCGTGTTGTAGTTGTTCAGGGAGGCGGCGTTCAAGCCGAACATGTCGAGAAGGACCCGAGCCTCGGGGCCCATGCAGTAGAGAAGTGTCCGCACCTGAATGTCCGGTGGTGCTTGGCGAAGTACGGAGGCATAAGCGTACTCCTCGAGTTGCGTAAACCGGGTAGGCCAAGAACCGGTGTTGTCGAAGTCGAAACCAGCAGGCTGACGTACGGAGCCGCCCACCCACGCGGGCAGTGTTTGCAACCCGATTACCAAAAGTGTCCAAACTTGGCACTAGAACCGCCCACAACAGACACTACAATTTTATGATCAACACTCAGTCTTTCCGATATTTAAAAAAAAAGTCTGTCAGGCGTGGCACCATAACGTTCACCCAGAGTGCCTCATCAAAGGGCACCCGTGTGACCCAGCAGTCTTTCGCCCAGTCAACAACAAGGTCACACCACTCCAGTCCTGTGAGCGCAAGTTGTCCTGTCACCTGGTAGTAGTGCTTGTGCTTTTTGTCGACACTCTTGTCCGCATGGATAAACTCCACAAACCCTCTGCTCATCACCTCCTCGAAGGTCGTCAGGTTCGCATCTATCGCCCGTGACACGGTCTTCACTTCGACTAGTCCGTACTCCTGTATATCTTCGTCCCAGACCAGCCCGTCTGGTGATGCCCCCAGCATGGGAAGGCCAGGGTTGATGCAAAGGCCAACACTGAAGACTTGGACCTTTTGCTTGGCCTTGTAGCGCTTCAGAGCAGCCGCCTCATTCTGAAGTCCCGCCCTCATGTGACGTGTCGTGCCATGTCCGCCCGAGAAAATCGTCCTGAGAAACTTTTCGTTCACGGGTGCTTGTCGTTTGACGATGTCTCCGAACTGTGATGCCGTGATCCTTTTCTCACGTTCCGTGTGCCACAGCATACTTCTGCTTTGGCCACGTGTCTGTTCCTCCAGGTGCTGAGCTTGTGTAAGAGTCAGGGTGCATGGATCGCTTGGTGGCATCTGGTGATTCCAGCACTCTTTTATGGGCAAGCTGATCCGTGCTGCAGAGGCCCCATCATCCGTGTTCGAGTGCTCCTGAACCTTCCTTGGCAAGGGTGTGAAGGCAGCTTCTTCCATCACGTCCGCAAACATTGGGAATATTCCCTTCTCAATGAAATCTGTATGCAGCCTCTTGACGGTTGCCTGCGCCACGTCCACATGCACTTCCGTGGTTTTTCTCGCACTCTTCGCCTTGTTGCTAGAGTCGTGCTTGACGAATTCTAGTTCGTTGAACGACACCGTACTTGCACCTCTCTTTGAAGATGGGCCCCACTGCCTTGCTCCCTCAGTGCAGGCCAGAGCATCCGGGATGTAGGACCTTCCCTCCCTTATCAGGTCTAGCATGTGCCAAAGCAGTGCTGCCACATGCTTGCACACACCGCCTTGTCCAGCCTTGCAGGAACAGGAAGCCTTGCTGACCTGCCCATCTTGGCAGAGCACAGCATGCACTGCGTATCGCTTCGTAAGGGTCATGGAAGCCTCCACGTTAGCCTTGACAATTGTCTCTGATGCACTTGTGGTGTGGAGGAAGATGTTCTGCACTTTGTGGGCCTTGAACATTTTGTAGCCAGAACTTGTGTGCTTCTGTGCTCCAGCTGCTTGGCCATGCCCTTGGATGTGGCTTTCCGAGAATGCGGAAGGAAAGTCCTTCAGCTGCTTGGTCCAAGGTCCTGCTGGAAGTGGTAGCTCTTGCGGCTCTGGTACATCCCGTGTCGCCATAGCCTTCCCTGAAAAAAAGGCAGCTCAGTCAGCGTTTTAAAAGGAGGACGGAAATTTGACCAACACAGTTTTTTAATGGGTTTGGTGTTGTTTTGACAGAATTAACCTAAACTTGCGAAGTAAGAGTTCATCTAGGGTAACAACCCCTCAAAAAAAGCCTGCTGTAAACTTTGTGCTAAAAAAAGAGCGTTTGCTATTAGGCAAACATGCCAGCTTTTGTAATCTACAACTTCTTGTGCACTTTCGAACATTACACAGTCGAAGGAGCATTCTGAAAGCAAGCCACGCACTGGCATTGGGGACAAGCATCTCCAGTGTCACTGAGCTGCTTGTTGCTGCTGCCCTGTCAGTGTCCATGATATAGTGCAGCTCTGAATACGAAGAACGCGTTTTGACCATAATCCGTTTCGTGCCAGCAGCATAAAGCTGCTGGCACGACCGTGAAGTGTTGTACAGGAGTGGCAAAGACACTCCAGCTTTCAATGCGTCAGTGTTCGTCCAAAAGAAGCAGTTCGCAGAGCCACTAAAAAGTGTCTAGCATTTCATATGCACGCGCTTGCGTGAAAACGGGATGATCAATAAAGATATGCACTCGCGGGACGCTGTGTTAGCGCGGTTCGCAGGGGCAATCTTGCCTCACCACAGTGAGCGCGCTAGCTGAACTGTAATTTCGATAAACAATGGAATCTCCCCCATACTATGCATAAAACGCAGTCAGAACCCCTTCTCCCGCCGCGACGAAGAACCGAACGCGAAGGATGTGATGCTGCGCGGACGGTTGTTGACGAGCGCTGCCGAGGCACGCCGACCGCTGGTACAGCTTCGCAAGCGTCCGAAGGGCAAAAAGATCGCAACGACAAAGCACCGTCCCGAATGTTGAGCACGCAAGCAGTACTCGATATCCCACGCTCACATTTCACAGGGCGAGCGCATCACGAAGCGAAGGCATGTCGGCCTTCGCTTCGTGATGACTACTTTATTTCTCTGCTTACAGCGGTGACATTTGTAGTGATGTTCGAAACTGCTCTCTCGCGACCGCACACGAGTTAAATGAACGGCCTAGGAGCGGGATAGAGCGTAACGGCAACAGTCAGTACTCACCCCGGGAGCGGCGAACGAAGCGGCGTGGTGTCCGTCGACGGCCGCGTCGAAAACGATGGAATATGCACAAAAACACGTAATATACAGAAGAAATACAAAGCGCTGAACGAAATAGATACACTTATGAACAAGAAAAATACACTGGAGTAGATAAAAAAGAGGATTATTAAGTATAAACAACGAAGATGAAAAGTATGTCTAGGGCGAGGTGATGCGATTCCAACGGAGAGCAGCCAGACGACGGGGGCCGACAGAACACCGATCCCAAGATTCCTCGCGCGCGCGCCGGGGCGCTTGGGAGAGACTGCAAATGGTCTATTGCGATGTAGGGCTTCGGTCGCGATGTCACTTTACCAGATGACGTCATGAAGTCACGTGATATCATGATACTACGGGACAGGTTGTCACGTTACTTTCCGGCGGCACACCATGTCCGCTAGGGGGCTTCTCTGTGTATGACAAAAATGCCACTCTTTGAGCAGACATTCGCGATGGTTCTCCCAGGAAGGGGGGCAAGATACATAACTGCATTTAACAAACCTAGGAAGAAAAAGATGAACCAGTCTTGGTGTTAATCCACATTACGGTACCGCACGATACAAAATACAGCCACAGCGATATCTGTGACAAGTCACAGTGAAGTCGTTGGGCATCGGGATCTCCTTCACGCACGGTGAAATGTGCGAACAAAAGTGTTCGGAATAAAAAAAGACCTGTGACCATTTCGTTACGAGGGCTTTTGTGTCTTTCTTTTTATTCCGGAGCGTGTGAAAGTGCGTTTTCCGGCACGAGCTCTTGGGATTAACAGCGCCACAACGACATTTTGTTAGCGGCTTTTAGTTTTAGGGAGCGCGTGCAGAGGCCATCGGGTGGCGTAGCTCAGGGGTAACACCTCCGCTCAGAACGCAGCAGACCCAGGCTTGATTGCCGAGGTCGGCGGGCGATCTTCTACAAAGATTTGACGGCATCAAGGACGGACGCTCTACATTGCCAACTATAACAACAATGGACGTCATTTTCAGTGCTGGGAAGAGCGCATAAGAGCTATTATTGTAAAACAAGAACTTGCGGATGAAAATATCAAACATCACTGCCTTCGATGCATAGTTTGAATCATCTGTGGCGATCATGAATTCAAGAGGGAAACGTTTTGAGACCTGCCTGGTTCCGAAACGATTCCCTTGTGGGGAAGGCAGGCCCTGTCTTCGTGTAGTATATGGAACTGAAGCCGGTATTCTCCCCTCCGCTCAGCCTTGCAGAAGAACGGCAGCGCAGAACTGCTCCCGCCGCTAGGGCCCGGCTACGAGACCGGCTTCTTCGAGGCAATCACGCTGGTCGCCGAGGGCTTTTTCTACCTGGGAGTCTTGTTCCTGACCGACTCTCAGCTCCTGCACGGTATGGTCTGGCACCTGAACCGGAAACTGCTCGGGACGAGTGACGACGACAACGACGGGGACCGAGGGCCGCGCCTGGTGGTGGCGTCCATGGACCCGGAAGTGGAGAGGGAGCAGAAGCAGGTCGAGAAGATCTTTAAGCTCAGGGAGTTCAAGGACGTCATCATGGTTGTGAGGGGCCTGACCAAGTCGTTTGGATGCATGGGCAAGGTGAGTGGCTGCCGCGTTTTTGAACTGTCCCATGCGTTTCCTTCCGCTCGAAACACGTGAACGATAATCACTGCGATTAAGTAGTAACAACTATGAAGAAAACGCCTCAAGGGGTGTCTAAACAGGACACTACAAAACGCACGACTCCGACAAATCGTGAAAATTGAAGCAGACGCTTCTATTTTTACGATTTGTCGGAGTCGTGAAAATGTTTGCAGGAGTCGTGAAAATTGTTACGATCACGACTGCTCTCCTCGTCAGATTGACGTCACAGACCACCAGCGTCTGTCTCACCTCGCCAACGCCCTCGCGTACCGCCGTCGCCTCGGTTTGAAGGCCAAGGAGGTCCGGCTTCAGGTGGATTTGGGACATTCCTGCGTCGAAGGGTGCGTTTCGCCCTCCTCGGATCTGCTTTCTTTGTCGAGATTCACTTTCGTCGTGATGGTGTCCGATGCGGTTCCGTATTCTGATCGGAGGCCTTGAGCGATTGACCGGCAGCCAACAAAGCGTGTGGGTGGCTCTCCGGACCCACGTGATGAGCAGAGCAAGGCCGCCGTGGAGGAAGCGAGGGGGAGATTTGACGGGGGGAAGTTTCCCCCCCGGAACTTTGACGGAGGAAAATTTCCCCCCGACGACCGGAAGCGGAGCGCGGCACGATTTGCCGGAGTCGTGAGTTTTGTAGTATCCTGTTTGGACAGGCCTTCACGGGTAGGCCTTGTTTTATGGATCCCTGAACTGACCCAAGCGGCAAACACGCTGCAGCAGACGCGTCCGGCGTCACCGCGTCTTAACGTCGCACTCGTTGTGTGAGACCCTATGCGACCCACTGGCGGCAATGCTGACGCGATTCAGGCGACGCTGCGTGATTCCAGTGGTGGCGACGTTTTGGAGAAAAGACGCATGCCTTGTCTTTTTAGGTGGCATCGGTCAACCACACGATAACGTTGCCACCACCGGAGCGCATCAAGGATCTGTTATGCCCTTGTTACATGGGCACCATTAGTTAACCAAAGTTAACGGTGCCAACAGCTGCAGTATAGTTGCCAGGAACTACTAACGATATATTTTAGCGTAACGGCGAGTTAGGATGCCCCTGTGACATCCTTAACAACAGTTAAGTGTGACCTCAGTTGTGGTTAACTCCGGTTCAGGGTGCGAACTGCTAAACCATTCTTAAGCCTAACTGCGGTTTAGGATGCCCATGTAGTCACCCTTGATCAGATTTAAATATCCGTGTGAATAGGGTATTACATGTGTATAACGCGAGAAAGGGACGCTGGCCGCCTTCCGCAGAAAGGCCTCGAGAAGACCAGCTTCCTCCTGCGCACAAACGAGTGCCTGGGCATGGCGGGCCTGAACGGCTCTGGCAAGAGCGTCCTGATGAAGCTCCTCGCGGGCGACCTGACGGCCACGGGGGGCAACGCGTATATGGCCGGACTCACGCTCAGCGGGGACCTTCGCCGTTGGCAGATGGCCATCGGCTACTCGTGCGACGGCCGCCTCGGTCTCGTACCCGTGCTCACCGGGGCCGAGATGCTCGACCTGGTGGCCAGGCTTCGGGGCATCTCTCCGGTCGCCAACCGCCGACTCGTCGTCTCCAGCACGCTCCTGCTGCTCAGCCCGCTTCAGGGGGACAAGCTTTGTGGCGACTACACGTAAGGCACATGGCAAGACTTGTACATGACGCTACAAGTAAATTGTTACTTGTACCTTGTTACTTTTTTTTTAAAGTAACGGCATAAAGACTCGTTTACTTTTTAAGAAATGATACATAGTAACGTATTTTGTCTGCTTTTAATGGAGTAACGAGTAACAGTATTTAGTCACTTCTGGAAGAGAATGTGTACAGCACAAGTGCCGAAGCTAGTTCTCACCCGAGTTGGCGCCTGTAAATTGCACAACGAGAAAACGCTAGATAAACCAAAAAAAGATGGTGACAGAACGTGCCAGCGTACCCACTGTTATTTTTAATTAAACGCTGTGAAAAACTTTTAACTACAACAAATACCGGAACCAGCTGCCGCTTCATAAAGAGGGCAGATTCAGAGTAAAAACAAAATAACACGTTACGTTCATGGTGAACTCACGCGTTCTTTTTTTCTTGCTTTCTAATGTAACATGTAACGTATTTAGTTACTTTTTGAGTGAGAAACGACCAAAGACATTTAGTTACTATATTTAAGTAACGTGGGCAAGTCTGATTGCAGATATTACCTTTCCAAACGCGGAAAATAATACACACGTTTTTTTTTTTTTTTTTTTTTTTTTGTAAAAGACATGTTTTGATGATTATGTTTCCTCTGACCGTGTCATTTAGCCCACTACTTTCGTAGATTTACTTCATTTGCTACCCGTGTGGCCTACGTGGAATTAGATGCGTCATTTTTCACTAACACGCTGCTTGCATCCCATACAGAAACGATTCATTAAAAGAAACCTAATTAATTCGTTGCTGACGCTCATATTTTGAATTTCGTTTTTTCGATGTTGGACATCCTGACATCCCAGTCAGTTCGTGACATCGTTTTGCTGCAGAAATTATCCGAAGTCTCTTAGACAGGGTGGGGCTGATGAACTTTACGACTTCGTCAATCGGTGCTGGGCGTTTTCGATCTGCTGAGCCAGCAATCTCGTTGGCTGTGCAGCGACCTAACGATGCTCTCTAGTCACAAAAACCAGCGTTTCGGCGTTTTATTTTATTTTTTTTTTTTTAAAGCCGTCAGTGAACATAATAACACCTGGTGGCTTTTATACTCTGTTTCACGGTAAGTCCTACCGCTGCCCCAACGTTACGGTCCTATACACCAATACAGTGTTTACAACACAAGGCCGCTTTGCCCACAACAGTTGTGGGTGCTGCGCGTGCGCAGAAACCCAATTCGAGAGGAGTGATGCGTCTGCGCATGTGCAGTAACGACAGCAGCGCCACCGCATCTGCGTGACGTCAGTGAGTTGAGTTGTTTTACATCATCGGCTGAATGAGTCACCAGGGCCCGTTTGCTCGAAGCGCTAACCGCGGCTAAAGTTAGCCGCAGTACCTAGGAGCAGACTTGTACGTAATCCGTTACAAGTAACGAAATTACTTGTAATCCGTTACATTTATCGGTAATTTAGTAACGGAATAATTACATATCTGCTAGAGTAGTTTTAAAGTAATTCCCTTACATATTTTACGTAACGGATTCCTTGTAATCCGTTACATTTTTTTTAGGACCAGCCCCCCCCCCCCCCCCCCTTCCTAAAGAAAAAGTCGTTTTCATTTTGGTAAAGTTGAGCGCAGTGACACTGTCACGCGAATTGACCAGCGCAAAGGGAGGCTTGGCACTCTTCAGTTCCGCAAAGCCTTTTTTTTTTTTTTTCTGCAACACCAAGCCCCTGAACCTAACAACAATGTCAAAAGATCCAAATAAACATTTCTACAAAAAAAAAAGGGGGAGAGTGGGGGAAGTTATATCCGTTTTTGTTTTGGCGTCTTTGTTTTTTTCTTTGCGATCGAAGGCGGGGAGAGGAAGACACCAAGGAATTGTATGCCTCCTCGAAAAGTTCAAGGCGTTAAGTGCACAGACAGGAATTAACAATGTCGCTCTCAGTTATAGGGACTAGGATCATTTTCATAATGTCACAACACGAGGCAACGCGCCGTCTACTATAAAATCCACTAAAAGAGATGTGATAATATGTGACGGTGTTATCGCCACAAGCATCCTCGTTCGTCGATGCTCACTTATCATCTTCTTTTAGAAAACAGGATGTATTTTTTTCCTGCTTCTTTCACCTTATTTGACCATGTTTTAAAAGCTATTTACTTTTTTTGTAGTCCAACTTTTAGGCTTGGCCCACTTTATTTGTGAATTCCAGCCAGGTTATCTGCATCTCAGTTACCCTTTTTTGTGAGTCAGCTTTTTGCGAGCACTTCGAAAATGGTAATAGTCTTCCTTTTTTCTTCTTCCTGTTTTTTACCCCAGCAGGACGCATCTTATCTCAAGCAGATAGTTTTACAAATAAAACATAATGGTGGCTAACGTAGACTTGATATTCTGGGCTTGAGGAGAGAATGAAACTCGTGAGTGGGGCCATTGCGCGGCTTACTTAGTTCTCTGCCCTTCGCTGCCCGTGGCATCAGCGGACGTCTATCTGGAGAACACCGGAGTAAACTGCAGTCGGTTCGTGCTCCGTGAGTTTTTGAACGGCACCAAGAAAGGTACACACGGCAAACGTGCGTTTACATTTCCTTGTTTTAACCAACGTTCTAATTAATTGTTGTTATGAGTGTCCTGTTGTTTTCTTCTCGATTACTTATATTTAAATATTGGAAACTTTTTTTTTGTAATTCACCAACGTCTCAACCGAGGCTCGACCTGTTCAGAACCTAAGGGAAGAAGAATATCGAGCCAAACCTTATTTATTATTTAATTATCACCTTACTGTTACCAACTCTACTAAAACTCAAAAATATCCGGCAACGGCTGCAACGGCGAAGCTTAGTTCTATCTTCGAGGTAAATAGTGCTTCCCTTGCTTCGCTGAAAAAGCTCAATGCAGAGCATGAACCATTCGTGAGGAACAATATGGCACTCCCATCCAGTGCCTCAGCTCAAATGGTGTTCAGCGTAGCAGTCGACACATTGACTAAGAAATAACACAAAATGTCTGACGAGTCTTTTGAGAGTCAGCTATTGCTCAAAATACGCAAGGTCAATAAATGGAACAGGTGGCAACAATAAGAACTTGGATAACCTTCTTCCCTTTGTTTCTTAATTGAGGAAAATATTGTTGAAAGTAACGCCACGAAAGTAACGGATTACTTTTGGGAGTAACGGTCACTTACATTTATGGGAGGGTAATTGTAATTGTAATAAATTACAATTTAGCCTTGAGTAATTGTAAATGTAATTCCTTACAATTTTTCAGTAACGTGTACAAGTCTGCCTAGGAGAGGGAATTTGAGATCACGTGACTGGCTCGGTGGCGATGCGAGGAAATATGGCGGTGCCCCAGTGAGTGAGCGCCGCTCGCTTTGGAACTAATATGTCGTTGTAGCTGCAATATAAGGCACGTTAGTCAGCAACGAATAATGCAGGAGGCTTTCGCTTTGCCTTACCTCACTTAAACCGCAAAGCATGGGCAATGACATCGCCGCATTTTTAGAGTGTGTTTCGATTCTGGGCATTCCTAAGCCTAAATGACCGCGATAATTGTCGGCATGGCAACGTCTTTGGAAAGCGGATTGTTGATAGCACACAAAAGCAGACGGCGCCGACAGACTTTTTTTCTAAATTATCCAAGCATCGCGAGGAGAACGCTGGAAGTGTAATTCTACGGTTCACGCGCGCTGGCCTTCCTCTTATAAAAGATTTGAAGTAAAAAATCATAATAAGGCTTTAACGAACGCGCGTGCAAGGCAAAGTTTGTTTTATACTTTTTGCTTCAGAACGGTTACTACTGCAGACGCCAGCGCGTGCGACGCGTGCAACTATACAGTCGTAGCATGCACCTCGGTGCTTGGATAATTTAGAAAAAAGGTCTTTTTGGGACGCCGTCTGCTTTTGTGTGCTATCAACAATCCGCTTTCCAAAGACGTTGCTATGCCGACAAATATCGCGTTCATTTAGGCTTACGAGTGCCCAGAATCGAAACACTATCTAAAAAATGCGGCGATGTCATTGCCCATGCTTTGCGGTTTAAGTGAGGTAAGGCAAAGCGAAAGCCTCCTGCAGCATTCGTTGCTGACTAACGCGCCCGATATTGCAACCACAACGACATATCAGTTCCAAAGCGAGCGGCGCTCACTCACCCACCGCCATGTTTCCCTGCATCCCTACCGAGCCAGTCACGTGATCTCAAAATCCCTCTCCTAGGTACTGCGGCTAACTTTAGCCGCGGTTAGTGCTTCGAGCAAACGGGCCCAGGGGAACAAAAACGCAGGATCGCAGCACATTTACTGTACGTGACCGGCGTACTGTCGTGTATTATACTGCGTGATGCACGTTAAAGAGCCTCGCGGTTGTACTGCACTGGCTAAATTTCTCCCATACAGCTGGGAGACTCGTCGCCCGTTGAGGCAGACCAAGTTTTAGGCTGCATAAACATACACACAACCATATTCTTTTTTTTTTACTGTACGTGGTTGGTGTAGTCCGTGCCAACAAACGGACAAAGACGGCGAGCGCCAGGACGCTACACTTTTTGTCGCTGCTTCATCAACGCCATCGGTTCGTTTACCGTTCCCTGCGGTCGGAGTTGGCGTGAAACAGAGTATATAGCGATATCTGAACGAACGCCATCGCGTCGTCGAATAGTCACCTTGCCGGCCAGTACTCATTGTTCTTTTCTTGCAATCAACTTCTCCATTGGCAGAGTAACGGAACAGAAGCTGCTCTCTCTGGGCATCGCCATAGTCGGCGTTCCCCCGATCCTCTTGCTCGACGAGCCGTACTCCGACGTGGAGCCATTTTTCCGCCACCAGATTGTGCGGTTCCTGCAAATATTGAAGAGCGTCCGGGCCACGACGATGGTCATCAGCGCTCATAGGTGAGGGCTCGCGGGCCACGAACACCCGGTCAGGCTCTGAAGACATCGTACAAACGGAGTTCTGTGGACTCTGTCCCGATTGCGTGTCTTCTGTGCTTTACTAATCCTGTCACGTTGGTGACACGGCAACTGTCTGTAGTCATGTTAGAAGCATGCACATATATGTGCGAAGCATATGTGCCTCGAAAACGCTCGAAGCGTGTCCACAGATACCTCTGTCATCTTTTCTGCAGCGAACATCGTGTCGTTTGTATGAAGTGTCAGCAGTGTTACCGCTGATTATAGTTGTCAGCCTGTGCGGGACATTGAGGCATCTTATAGTAAGGCCTGGTGAGGCGACAAAGTGTGACGTGGCCCGCAGGCTGTCCCATTGCGAGGAGCTGTGCGACCGGGCCATCGTCCTGGAAGACTGCAAGATCGAGACTATGGGAGACTACGACCAGATGAACCACAAGTTCGGTCGTTGCTACATGATCAAGATGAGGCTGCCCGCCGACCGTCGGGCCGACAGGGGCCTCCAGCGGCAGCTCATCGAGCTCATGCAGGAAGAGTTTCACCAGTGCGCGCCTTGCTACAGCTACAAGGTACCCGTTCGTTGAATTGAATTGAATTGAAAACGTTTTTATTTAATTGGAACCCTGCAGAGGTTTAGAGCAGAGGGAAATTAAAACCCTCTGCTCTAAACTTTGCGTCCTCCACTAGAGGAGTGGTTCAAAGGTCACGGGGAAGGGATTGAATCAGGAATTGAGTGAATGGACAAGGAAAAAGTGATGGCTAACGTTGTGGGGTGTCCTTTCTTGCGTCCTCCGCTCGAGGAGAAAGGGGTCACGAGGGAGGGGTTGGGTCAGGAATTGGGTGAAGGGACAAGGAGGATGGGATGACAAGGTGCTGGAGTTATGGGGTGTCCTTTCCTACTGCCTCTGCTAGAGGAGGGGCCAGGGGTCACGGGGGAGGAGTTAAGCCAGGAATTTGGTAAAGGGGAGTAGGTGATGGCAGGCTGCTGGGGTTGTGGGGTGTCCTTTCTTCGCAGCCCCAAGAGAAGTTGAGATTGTGGTTGCTAACGTTTCATCTCAACCGTAAAAGTTCGACTAAAAAAAATTAAAGAATTCATTGGTGGATCTTTAGGGAATTCGTTCCCTCGAGAAACGCACACATATCCTCCTTTGGAAAACGCCTCCTTCACTTTTCTGTCTTGGCTTTCTCCTTTGATTTTCTCTTTTGTTTCGTCTATTTTTGCTGCCTATTTTTAGCTTCGTTACGGGATCTGTGTTCTCTTTCCCAAAGGAAAACGTGTGCGGCGTTTCCCGTGGGTCATGCTAACGCATCCAATAATAATCCACCAATGAATCTTTAATTTTTGTAGCACGAACCAAGGCATACGCGCTCGGCACACCTGAAAGTTCAGACTCGCCCCAGCATCTGCGCGCGCATTGGCTTCTGCCCCGTGACGTCGCCTCCCTCTCGCCTCTGTCCTTCTCTACTCTCCTCCACTCCACGCGGCGCGCCTCCCTTTCCACTGTTTTGTCCACAGAAGGACGCCGTCAGCTTTTCCCTGTCATGTGTCATGCGAACGCATTAAAAAAAAAAAAAAAGATGCCATACTGGTGTTGGGAAGGGGGGCGGACTTCTAAGGTTCCAGTGAGTTAGACTCCTGCCCTTCTGCTCAAATGCCTTCAATCATTAAGTAGCAAGCTTCACTATTGTGGACGCTAGGGAGGCTCAAGTAAGGGTGGGTGCAACTGCTAGATCGGCGATCACGGGACATGGACTCCATTTAATTGCTAAATTTTGCTGGGAGTCTTTAGGGCAAAGGGTCGTTTTCTTTCCTAACTCAGGTCATAAAAGCCCATTAAGGTGCTTGAATAATTTACACAAGGTATAAATGATTACTTTTCCATAGCCACCAGTTTTGTTGCGATAGGTTAAGTATTTTTTAACGCGAAAAATGGTAAATTCCGCCATCTTGGACGTTGCTGCTTGTCTGGCAACCTTGCTTTCTCCGCTCGACGTTTGCAATTCTCGGAGCGAGAAGGAAGCGAGAGAGGCTGCGCCAAGGCGCTCGTTGCTTGCAAAGGGAGGCGAGAGGAGGAAAGGCGCATGGAGCAACAGAGTTGCAACAGAGCGGGCGCCTGCTCTCGTGCAGGCAACACTGGCGCATATCCTTTCTCGAATCCTCTCCCTCAGTCGCCGCCATTATATTGCAAACGCCAAAGAAATCAACGCCACCTAGCGGCTAGAGTATACAACCCTGGTGGCGGGTCCATTCGCCGGTATTCTGGCGCATATCAGTTATTTACAGCACCTGGTGGTCTAAAGAAAGAAAGCCGTGAAATAGAGCTTGCAAAACACGCGACGAAAATCACCAATAGTCGCCGACAACTTATGCAACGCGGGGCGTGGCAAGGTCCGAGCATCTCATTATCGCACGGCCTGCAGCCAATGAGGCTGCGGCATGAGCCGATATAAGAATGCCGAGCAACCAACCACGAAGCGAGAGGTGTGAATGCCATAAGCCACGCCCTGCTCCTCTTAAATGTCAAAGAACAGATTCGAGATTCTGCACGGCAGAAGATCCTCCTCACCGTGAGGGAGGAAGAAACAGGCAACGGTACACCGGATGCGCTGCTGCGTAGCCGGTTGTGAGCCGTCGCAAGAGCACGGGTCTCGCTGCCACGCCTTGCCTTTCTTAAGCTCTTAGAGATTGCATAGGAAAGGAGCGGACGTAACTCAAGCCCCGACCAGGGCGCCCCTAGCGGTAAACGGATCATTTTCATCGGTGGGTCCTTTATACCCACTGCACCCTGATTACATTCGCTCGACTTTTCCGCCACGGAAAAAGCTCACGGAGTTCGTAAGAATCTTACATCCCGCCGTAATAATGACGGGCACACTAGGCCCGCGCATTTCGTCACAATTGCTACTCGACGAGTACGCGGCGACAACCGCTAGGTGGCAGCGAACAATTAGGGATCCTGTATTACAGAGAATATCCATCAACTCAATCGGGGGTCACGTGGTTTATGGGCCGCGTCTGCATTGCAAGCTACAGGCGACGAACGCGTTGGTCTTTCGCAAGCGTCTCTGCCTCTCCGCCTGCTTTCCTTCTAACCACGCGATAATGCAGCGCATGCGCACATGCGACCAATCTCCGATGGAGGCGTCCGCCATTAAACTGCCAACGCTCCCCATGGTTTGAGTGTGACCCTCTCTGCAATCTAGGCTCTCTACGAACAATTTGTGGCAGAGTCGACGCCGCTGGCGTGCTCCTTCCCCGTAAAGATTTGACGCTATTCAAGTGACAGTTTTTTTTTTTGTTTGTTTTTTGTAGCTGGTTGTTTGAAAGCACACCGCAGATTGTGCGTGCGAACGACTTCCTTGAAAGCATACAGCTGTCTAAATGTCGATCGCAGGCTGTCGGCTCTTACTCTAGATAGACGCAAACCGCTTAGAGGCTGGATTCGATAGAACTGTATTGAATTATTTTTGGCTGAATCCTACCTATTGAGTGATTAGTAAAAACAAAAACAAAACAAATATAACTTGCATTGCTGTAGCAAACTGATTAAAGAAACAATTCAGTCTCAATGTTGCTTTGTTTTTCATATATCTCCTTCTATAGATCAAAGCGCTGTTTATTAACGAGCCAGCGTTCGCCCACACTAGGTGTGGGCGCTGCGCGGGCGTAGAAACCAAATTCGTTAGAAGTTAACCGTTTGCGCATGCGTCGTGCCGACAGCAGCGCCACCGCTGACGTGTGACCTCAGAGCCGCGCGCTGGTGTATCTATCTATAGTAATTTGTGTTCCTATCGTCTTTTTGTAATGTATTTAGCGACGAATACGAAAATCTGGAGCCTGAACGAAGGTTCCCCGAACATTTCGCAGGGCATGATCGCCTTCAGGGTGGGCAAGACCTACACCAACTGGAGCGAGGTATACTCCAAGGTAGCGGCTCACAAGAGCAACCTGGGTCTGCCCGAGGTCTTTGTGGGCGACATTTCGTTCGAGGACATCTTAGTCGGCCTGGCGAGGTGCCAGATCCTTACCATGATGATACGTCCCAACACCATAAGCACCGCGCCTTCTTAATCTGGATCGCCTCGCAGTATGCGCAGCATATTTACAAACAAATAAAATCGGATCCTGAATGGAGGCTGAATCTACCTACTCTTTATCAAATTTTAGAATCAAGTATCCTGTCACACAGCACGGTACCAGAACCTATACTCTGTTTCACCTTGTGTCGTACCGCAGGAAAGGCTACAAGCGCGAGCCCCTTGCTCTAGGGTACATCTCGGCGGCACAAGCTCTCGTGCACCAAGGCCAGCTGCCAACGCTATGAGCTCGCGCATCTAGCCTTCGCTGCGGTACAACATACGGTGAAACGGAGTGTAGCAAGTGTCGCGACCGTGTAGGGACTAAATGTTTTATTTTTACACTTCCGGCCTGCACAATTTGCCTGATTTTTGTGTAACTTAGGGTGTCTTCATGTTCGCTTTGCTTGGGGTGATGACATCTGTCCATTTTGTTTCGAGCGGTCATTTTTATTTTTTGTTCTGAAGCACATGAACGAGCGTGTCCCTCCTGCTCACGCTCGTGGCACTGACTGCTACAGCGACATTTTGTTTCCTGCGATTTCTTTGCATTTTCCCAATGAGCTCGTGCTGTCGGCATCGGGTACCACAAACGATGGCATCACCTTAGACCGCGGTGCCCTAAACAGAAGGACATTGAGGCATTCTAGTGTGACTGTTTCTCGTTATATGCGTAAAGTCTAAAAAAAAAAAAAAGAAAAAAAAAAACATGGGATGTAAGAGACATGAATGTACAAAAATCAAGAATGGCACGGATGTGTTCATAGTGTATCCTGTTTTTTTATAATGTTCAAAGTGACGCATTTGCTCGACTCCACCTATGATACAATTATGCTTTTGGACCGCTCAGGGAGTAAAGTGCCATCGATCGACCTGCGGATAGTCATGTTCAAGAGGTCTGAACCAGCTCCTATCGTAGTCAGCCGAGGGCAGCTCCAGCCGTGGTAAATAGAAACTAGCGCCACAAGGCGCTGGTGGCAGAAAGGCGAACATACGTATGGACTCAGGGCTTAAAGTCTGGGGGGTCTCAGGGGGTCTCGGACCCCCCACTGATTTTAACGGATGGTCTGAGACCCCCCTCCACAGCCCCCAGCATGAGTAAAATCAAAAGCACATCTTGCAATAAAATAGCTTGTTTTTAGAAATTGGACATTTGGGGATTAGCAATTTGAGGGTTGCAGGTACAGCGTGGGTAGAGTCAGCAGTTGGGTTTATTTTATGTGCATCTAGTTCATCTCGCCAGAACCCTTTCCCCCCTACCTTCTTGTAGGGACCCCCCTCAACTTACGAGAGACTTTAAGCACTGCGTATGGTGCCAGACGAAAATATTTTGAGAAAGACGGCCAGATGGCGCCAGCACTGTTGTTAGCGTGCGCTCTCCTCGCCTCCTCCTCCTCCTGTATTTTTTAGAGCGCAGCTCTTAGGGGCCCGTTCCCGGCTTGAGCGGCGTCAGCGTCGCCGTCGCCGTCGGCGTAACCAAGGTCATCCCAAGGTCACGTGACCCCTCCAGATCACGTGACCCCTCCCAAGGTCATCTCAAGGTCACGTGACCCCCTGAACGTCACGTGACCCCCAAGGTCACGTGACCTTGGGGGTCACGTGGGGTCATCTTCGGGTTACGTGACCCCTCCCAAGGTCATCTCAAGGCCACGTGACCCCAAGATGACCCCACGTGACCCTTTGAAGGTCACGTGACCCCCAAGTCACGTGACCCCTATGAGGTATAGTGACCCCTCTGAGGTCACGTGACCCCCGAGGTCACGTGGTCTCCTCCCCAAGGTCACGTGACCCCAAGGTGACCCCCACGTGACCCCTCTGAGGTCACGTGACCCCCGAGGTCACGTGACCCCTCCAGGTCACGTGACTCCCAAGGTCACGTGACCCCCTGAGGTCACGTGGGGGTCACCTTGGGGGTCACGTGACCTTGAGGTGACCCCCATGTGACACCCAAGGTCACGTGACTCCCAGGTCACGCCTCCCCGAGGTCACGTGACAACCCTCCCCGAAGTCACGTGACACCCCCCCCCCCCCCCCCCCGAGGTCACGTGACCCCCCCCCCGGAGCATATTAAAGAATGAGGGGAGGAAGAGGAGAAGGAGTCTACCCTCCCCTCAGTACCCTTCACTCCTCCTCCTCAAGAGCTGCGCTCCAATTCGGCGTTACAGGGATTTGTAAACGGCTTTCACTTTTTTCTTTCCGTTTTGTTTGTTGGATTGGTGCCGTCTGCTCGACCGGCGCCGTGCTGGCCGCTCGCCAGCACGGCACCGGTCGAGCAGGCGAACAATTGCGCTTCACGTGATATTACCAGCGCAATAAATCAATAAAACAAGGAGCACGTTCATTGAAATGCATTTTTTTATTGAACACCACTGAAGTGAGTTGTGGAGGACGCTGTGGACGCAGTCTCCGCGTCCACTGTGTGAGCAGCATTTGAATATCGTCACCGCAAAGCTCGATGACGCATTCCCGGGGATCGTACTGTTGCCATTGTCCCCCCAGCTCCGTCATCAAATTTCGCGAAGGAGCAAAAGGCGGCTTTGGAAGGAGAGACTGAAAGAAAAGCTCCGCCTTCGTCCTGTGAATTCCGCCGCGACGAAGACGCTTCTTGGTCAGTGGTGTTGCGTTCAAGTATTCTTGGGTACCACTATAATGCCAGGAAGCTGGTGTAAAGTAAGAAACATTCTTACCCAATGTCGTTGCACAACCCCTTAAATCCTGAATGTCTTCTATTTGCGTGGCTACGGCAAAACAATGTTTTCGCCGATACTGAAAGTGACGAAATTCAAGATGGCGGCACCCTTGTGAAAAAGTGCGTATACGATGACCGTCGTGCTTACGCAATAGATGTTTCCGATGCGAATATTACCCGAAGGAACACAACACGATGATGCGAAACTCTTGCATTGTTGTTTTATCTCAATATTCCTCGGGTCGGTTCTCTATCGACTAAATGGCCGTGACGCGTTCCTAGAGGCCCAGAACGGCCGGCCTGGGCGTAGTACTCCGCAAGGCGGCGACGCTAGCCTCTCTGTGCGTGAAGCTAAGGTAGATATGTTCCAGCGAGGTGTCCGTGATGTAGAAGTCTTGCAGCTTGAACGTCTTCTTGATCTTGGCCATCCTGCTGAACATCTCGCTCCACAGAAAGCTCACGTGGGTCATGCGAAATTCCATGAGGCCCTGCGGCAGGAAAGGTACAAACGTGGCAGCGACGACAACTTCCTTTTCCAAGAATATAAATGGATAATAGGGTCTTTTAGCAAACCATTACCGTGTTTCGCGAACAGCACTACCATTGAAGCATATCGCCGGGTGATGCCGTGATCGCGGGCTACAGCAGGCTTCAAAGACACCGGTAGCGCGTTACGTGGAACACGGTAACGGTTTGCTAAAAGTCCCCAAAATGGCAGCGACTTTGATCTTTAAAGTCGTGTAATGCACGTAATGCGGTATTTAAATTGCGATCGTTACATTTGTTTGGAAAATATTAAACTGCCGTTTCGACGAGCAAAGAACACGCTAGTTCATCAAGTCTTCCGTTAAATTTATAATGGAATTTTACGCGGTAAATTTACTGGAAAAAATTGAATACGTACGTAATTCACGTGACATCAATTTCCTCGCTAAATTTAACTTGGGAGCCGAATTCGTGTAAAGGTGAATTTTCTCGCAAAATTTAACGGGGTCATGCCGAGGACGATCAAATTTTTTACAAATAAAAAGCTCCGTAAATAAAGGGGGGAAAAATTGCTTGCTTTTAAATTTTATACCATCCATGACTGAAAGAAAGCACGTATGCTCAAGCCTACGTTCCCGTCTTCGTGTTTTAACGAGCAAGCAGAGCGATATTTGGCGAGCCCGCGACTTTGAGACGCATGCCGTGCCCTCGATGTTCGACTCCTGCAGTTTGTAAGAATGTTTTAGTTTCCTTTCGCTCTCAGTCACATGAGTTTCATATCTGGTATGCGGGGCAATAAAATAATAAGACGTATCAACCTGGAATATGCGAGAAAACATAGGGGAGGCTCGACAAGAATGTCTCAATCGCGCATTTTTCGTAAACACCTTCCAGCGGCGTGAGAAGACATCAAAACACTGTTTTGACGAATACCAGAAGTTAAAACACTCAAGATGGCTGCGCCCTTGTGAACAAGGCATGTATTTACGCGGTATATTATTTCGTTAAATTTGAAGTAAAAAGACACTACGTTGTAAAGTTCTTGGTTCATAGTTGAAAAAACCCCGAGACTGCGGGTAAACGACACAACACTAAAAAGTTTCTAACGTGGCTGTGAAAAGTTCTGACCTTCAAGGTATATCTTTGTAGGTTTTCGGGTAAAAAAAAAACGTTAATTTTTTTTTTTTTTTTTGTGTGTGTGTGTGTACGTGTATGTGTGTGTTAATGGGTTAATGTAGGTTTTCGGGTGGAAAAAACGTTAGGTCGTTTTTTTCTTTTTTTTTTTTTGTGTGTGTGTGTGTGTGTGTGTTAATGGGCTTAGGCTTTCCAGTGTGTTTGGCGGTCGGGTAGCGAGGGGTCAAAGATAAGAGAGGTGCATGACGCAGAGTCCGTTGCCCTTGTATTTAGTCAAAGGTTACATTGGTGGTAAGTGGCATTCTTTGGGGTTCTCACCATCTCCCCCTTTTGTGTTTTTGTATCGAAGTGCCTATATAAGCAGATTTCGGAAAATAAAAATGTCAGCTGTGTTAGAGAGTTTTTAGTGGTGTACTCTAAGAAAAAATGAAGGAAAAAAGTAGCAACGGCGCGCCTTCCTCCCTTCTACCGACGCGCCCCCAAGCGGACACGAGAAAACGGGTGGAACGAAACGTTTTTCTCCTTCTCCAGGCAGACGGGAGAAAGCTTTCGCCCTCCCGACTCATCGTCTTTCGGTTCGTTTTTGGAGCAGGTCGCGCACGTTGTTTAATAAATAGCTGTTGAGTCGATTGAGCTTCAGCAACAGCGAAGGCCGCCTGTAATTCCGTCTTCCAGTTTAAACGTCCAGAACATTTCGGTTGCATTGACATTTTTATCACTAATTTTATCA